CCCCGCCAAATCCCCCGCTGACGGAGGCGTGACCCAGGCCGGCCAGTGACCTCATAGCTCCTCACCGCCCCCTAACGGGTAGGTGGGTCGACGCAGATCACAAGTGGTGGAGAATGCAGGCAGCGCCCCCTATCCCTGCCGGAAGGGATTAGAGCAAGGAGGCAGCGACAGCCCCTAAACAGAAGATGGAGATGAAAGGCTCATCAAGGTGCTGGCCGAGACTCAGCAGCAGCAGCAACAACTCATACAGCAGCTGGATACCCACCAGCAGCAGTTGCTTCAAACCTTGGGGGCCCAGCACCGCGAACAACAGACCCAATGTTTCCAGCAACTTGCCGCCCTGTGGCCGAGCCCCGGTGGAGCCCAGCCGGGTGGGGTGACCACCCCCAACCCGCCTGCTCCACCAATCCGTCTGGCCAAGATGGGGCCTGAGGATGACCCAGAGGCTTACCTGGTGACCTTCGAGTGGGTTGCTGCAGTAGCTGGTTGGGCGCCGGACCAATGGGCCACCCTGCTTGCCCCCTATCTAACGGGGCCGGCCCAGAAGGCTTACCGGGGGCTACCAGACGATGAAGCCCGTGTGTACGCCAGAGTAAAAGCGGCTATCCTGGATGCCTTCGACGTCACCCCGGAAACTTTTCGGCGACAGTTTCGGGGAAAGCTTTACCCCCCGGGTGCCCGGCCCCGGGCTGTGGCACAGGAATTAAAGGATGCAGCGTGCCGATGGCTACAACCCGAGCATCGAACTGTAGCTGAGGTGACAGAACAGATCATCCTCGAGCAATTCGTGCACATCCTTCCGACTCCAGGGAGGGCATGGGTGTTGCGGCACTGACCTCAAACTCTAAGTGCAGCGGTCACACTTATGGAGAACTTTCTAGAGGCTGAGGCCCCGATAGGACCGACCGCCCGACCCCCAAGCTCTGGACCCGGCGCTCAGAAGCCGGAAAGGGGGTCCACCCCCAAAGTCAATGTGCCAGCTCGAGCCAGACGACCAAACGGCGGCGGCACTACTTTTCCCCGACGGCCCGAGGCCCCACAACCCGCACCGTCCGGACGTTTGGCCCGTCCATCGGGCCCCGGCCAACCCCGCGGCCACCCGGGTGACCCTGCACGGCCGGGGCGCACAGAGGTAGGACCTTGCTTTCAGTGTGGGGAGTACGGCCACCTGCAACGAGACTGTACGGCGATGGAATGCGATTTTGGCCGGGTGTACACCGGGGAGCGCCAGGCCCGCCCACCATCCACGGCCAAACTGACGGCCCCCATGAGCATCGCCGGGACACCTGTTGTGGATCTAGTTGATTCGGGCTGTGGGCAGACTCTTGTCCGCCAGTCCCTCCTCCCAGACACCGAGCAGATCATTGGGGAGGTACGGATACAGTGCATACATGGAGATGTGAAACCATACCTCACGGTGCAGGTCCCTCTCACGGTAGACGGGGCAACTCAGTTAATGAACGTGGCTGTGGCCCCATCCCTTGCCTACCCAATCATCCTGGGCCGGGTCTGGCCAGAATTCGTCGAGGTGCTCCGGTCCCTATCTCCAGAAGAGGCTTTCGAGGGAGCCCCCTCTGCGACGGACCCAGGCCCCGGGCGGAGCCCCGACTCCGGCATTGACCCATCCCTTTCACCCAGGCAGGATGGCCAGGAAACAGGGGGCCCCCCGGTGGACATTAGGGACTTTAGCCGAGACCAAAGGGAGGACCCTACACTCCGGTTTGCCTATGAACAGCTGGCACGGGTAGAGGGGAAGGTCGTGGAGGCCCAGCGGGCGACCCAATGGCCTAGATTTGAACTTGATCGGGATCGTCTCTACCGCGTAGAGCGGGACCCGCAAACTCAAGAGGACCCGCAAACCAACTCGTGGTTCCCCGCATTCATCGACGGGCGGTCCTAAAACTAGCCCATGACATCCCAGCCGCAGGCCATTTAGGACCGGAGAAAACTGCGGCTAGGGTCCTGGCCAAGTTCTTCTGGCCCGGCATCCACCGCGAGGTGAAAGATTATTGTGGGTCATGCCTGG